GGAATTGCCAAAATCTCGGAAAAGAAAAAAATGATCAGTATCCATTATATGGCTAAACGAATATATAATAGACAGATGAACAGAATATTCCAAGATACTGCAAATAGAGAGTCAAATGCTGGAGAAGTTTATTATTAAGACGATGGAGGTTTATTATGGAGAAGACTATTTTATCAGCAAGAAGGATTTGTTCGAAGCAATTAACAAGTCAGCTGGTTTGGACAGAGTAAACCGAACTGCTGCGCGTACATAGGCAACAAAGGTATTAGAAAATGATATGAAAGGACATACTAGGAAATGTAATACCCATCGAGATTCATTCATGTTTAGTGTACCATAGAAATTCTACTTAAGAATCGTAGAAGCTAGAATAGGAAATATTGTCTATTGCCTGAGCAATATGCATTGAGAAACGATAGATGAGAATTTAAATGTGTGGTAGAGGCTTGTAGGCACCTACGCCAGTACCGCTTAATTGCATTTTCTACGAAACTGCTTCAAGTATTATAAAAAAGCAATCAGTATTTTTGAAAGAGAAATATATTCTCCAGATGTTTAATTTCAGAACGTTTAGCGTTATTGTTGGTCGTTTAATTACAAACGACGCTTGATTTTCAACTTGAAAATTTGTTTGTTAAAATAATTGACTTTACTGATGTTTTTTATTGCCTAAGCTTATATACTATATATTATATTTATATATGATATAAGCCAATTATTATTTATGTTTGATTATTCTTGATTATTATTTATGTTTGATTATTGTCTGACTATTTAGCTTTAATAAAAAACCAACTATGACGAAATTAAGCCAAATGCTGATTCTCGGGGACAGAAAAAAATAACTAAAGGCAAAGTCGTCAATCCGCCATGTTTGGGGTAGTGCGTTCACTTTTTTTTGTGGGAACATAGGCTTTTTTTAAATAAATAGTTACAAGGAACACAACGATATGCAATTTATAGGGATGTGATGGGGAGAGGTGTACCGTAGGGGATGGGGGTCTGGCCCACCTTGTATAAAAGATTGAGGATGCTTGTGGGCCCTAGCTTGGATACCCTCTACACCCAACGTCATAGAAAGATCTACGGGAGGTGGAGAGGAGGGAGGCATTTCATATAGGTAGTTAGTTTCTTTATTTCTTCCGACGCAATTATCCTAATATATACATAAAAAAAAAATATTTTGGGGCTGAAGCTTTGGCCCAAAGACTATTAGTGGGCGGGGTGTCCGAATGGGCTAACCTGATGTATGATTCAAATGATATAAAAATAGTCACGAGTTCGCGTCCCGGTCCCGAGGGAGTCTTTTAAATCTCCACCCACACCCCCTGGCTCGGGAAAACCTCGTATAGCCTCAACGACGAGGATCCAAAAAAAAAAAAAAACCCTAACCCGACCCGCGAATGGTGTTTTGATTATATAGTGAAATTATTTAAAAAATATGAAATTTAAATCATAAAAAGTAAATCACTCAAATAAGAGGTTACCAGAATATGTATTGTATGAGCTTCTGTAAGAAAGCTCATTTAACAACTGAAGTGTCAATTATAGAATAAGCTTTTTTTCATCTCATACTCGGTGAGACTAAAGTAGAGGTCTCGATGTGGCCCGTGGACCAATAAGTTTGTAGATCCTTGGTCTATATCAATGCCAAGAGTGCGAATGTTGACTAGAAATCCTACAGGTCCAGTGAGGAATTGCGTAGTCCAATAGTTCAGGAAGACCCACTTTGTGCCTCATTTGAACAATGGAAAGAACTTTCTCAATGTACCCTGTTTCGGGATAGTTACAATAGTCATTTTCATTCTTAAATCGTGTCCGGATTATCTCCTCACATCTATTAGGATAATCCATAATACACATCTGAGGATTTTCCGGATGTAATGTAGAGCCTTCTCTCTTATATGCATATTTCGTCAATTATTCTCGCAGAAGGTCGAAAAATAGGGTGCCTAAAACCAGCTCTGCTTCATGTGATGTCTTGTGACTCCTGACGACCCAAAGCAGAACCATTCTCTGGGTCCATTGTTAGTTTTAATCTGATTAGATTAAAACATATTCAGTTTGTCGGTTTAAAGGTATGTAGCGATTTCTGGAGCGAACGACTCGATCGCTTTTCCTTGTGATAGCTTAAATTATTCAGTAAGCTACCGTGGTTGTTTAATCTGTCCGTTTGAAGGTTTATAAAGATTTTTTGAGTGAACGCCTCTATCAATTTTCAAGGTTGATGGTCAAACGTTGAAGTGACATTTTGGAAGTATTTAAAAAACAATATGAGCGTAAATAATAAAATATGATGAAATTTAACCTGTTTGAAGTTATGTAACAATTATAATAAGGAAGTGCTCTAACTATTCTTACGTTTTCTGGCTCAAACTGTTCAGTGAGTTCCCCTTAGTATTTTAAAACAAGAGCTCAAAATATTGAGAAATGGGGAAACTAAATATTTTTCTGGATTGTTATTATATGGTTATTCTAACCAGTGGGAAGATTTAGATTCATTCCATGGATCTCTCAGTAAATAAAATTCAAACCACCAAGGATGGGTTTGAACAGAGGTCGATTTTAGACTTGAGAATGTTAAAGTTTGTTTAATCTGTTCATTTAAAGATATGTAAATCTTTTTGAGTGAATGGCTCGACCAATGCTTAAAATTAATTGCTCAAATTACTCCTAGGTAAGATCCTGTTTAAGTATGGATACAATTTAAACTCGAAATTAATAAAAAGTCAATTAGTTTTTGCATTAGTCCTGATAAAGACGAACTTAGAACCATGAAAATACAGTATTTTTTTTTTTCATGTCGCCTCCTACAAATTCTTTCCACTGCTACTACTCCCATTTTGTGAATTCAAGTTTATCCTAACATTCCTCGTTAATTTTTCTCAAGTTTTACTATTTTGTTTCCGGAAACCACCCCCTTTATATTTTTTAAGCCTAGCACTTTATCCAAAATTTGCTTATTTAATTTATTTTATCCATCCTAACCACATATTTGTAAAATTTCAGTCTTCTTATTGTCATGGATGTCCTTACTTGATTCGCTACCAGTCCTTATTCTGTATTCCTCAATAATTTGTTTTTGTCCATGTATATTTTGCAAGAAATTCCTTTCTGTATTCAACAACCCCTCTGTATTTGTGAACCATATTATTTCCGCTTGTATAATATTTCACTAGGCTCATAGCTTTCTTTCCCAAAATAAATTATTTTTGTTATCTTCATATGGGGTTCATTTATTTTTAGCCTGTAATTTATTTGTTATCAGTTTTATGATTTTACTACTTTTACTCGCTTTCAAAATTTCTCAAAACTATCTTCAGATTCATGTTCAACAAGATAATAACCTTGTAATACTTACTTATTTAGCAGAGCTAAAGAGCAACATAAAATGTCAAATGGATCCTGGTTTGATTCCATGTAGAATATTTGTTCTGTATTTTTGTTATAAGTGTCGTGTATTTTTTTTTAAATAGAAAGTGATAACTAACAAATAACTTTAGGTATTTACCTAAATGAATTTAAATTTTATTTAGGTAATTACCAGTAACAGTAAAGTAAACAAAATTTTCTTCAAAAGAAAGTAGATTTTGTCTTTTTTAAAACCTCAGTAAGGGTTTCCAAGTACCTACATTATTAAATCCTGTTTTGTCTAAAATCATGGATAGTTAAAAATTTTGAATAGGCCTACTGGACTACAGATTCCATAATTTTAGAAAAATGTCTTGGTTCAAAAAACTTTAAGCTCATAAAAATTAAGTTGAGATGTAGCACAGAATAAGTTCAGATTCGCTTCCAGTTTTGTAAACAAATGATCTATTATGAATGTACCAATAAATATATTTATTATTCACTGTTTGTTATTTATTTTTTCTCAGAAGATAACAGCAAGTTTTTAAAATTTATTAACTGCTTATTTTTTAATGTGTCTCTAAATTAGTGAAAGTTATACTGACATAACGGTACATCAAAATAATTTTAGCAACAGAAACAGATTAGTGTTTTTCTTAAAGGTTTTTCAAACGGCTAAAAGAACAAAAAGGAATGGTCCTTATACTGGTTTTTGAAAAGAAATTCAGCAAAGAAAAAGACAAATAGTATTAATGTAGAGTCATATAATAAACAATGCATCGAATTCTTGGAACACAGATTGAAGAACACTCCTAAAAAATACTACACACATGGAGTTAATAGGAAAATTGTCTTTAAAGTTTTTTCTTCTTTCAAAAACAGTAAAAACTTTTAGGTTTTAGTAAAAAAGTTCTTTAATATTGAACTAAAAATTTAAAAAAGTAACAAACTATATAATAGATTTATAAATTCTGAAAAAGTATTTTGTACTATATTTACAACCATACATAAAGTAATTTTACAAAAATATTCTCAGTACAAAGATTTAGAATGTCAGTCAATAAATACACCAGACTCTCAATAACTTGAAACTCAAGAATTCAAATCCCTTGATAACTCATTTTTTTCTCTACTCCTCTTTATTTCTCTTTAGTTTTCCTTCTTATTGACTCTACAAGTTACATAGGTTACCCGTACAAGTCTAATATCCCCAAATACAAACTTTGAATACAAAAAGTTTTTGGTTCCATCACCAGAACAACTCAAACTTCACAGACCACCTTCAAACCAGAGCTGTTTGAAGGGCCCTTCCCTTTCTACTCTCTCATCAGTCCTCTTTCTGATATCAGAAAGAATCTCTTTGTGCTTATTATTATTATTTTTCTCGTATCCATTTGTTAGATATTAAAAAAAAAAACAAATAATATCTGGGGATCGAATCTTTGAAAAGCATTAACCATGGAGGAGATACAGAGAAATTGTCAAGACGGTAGATGAAGGTATGAAGAAAAAGTGAAATTACCACAGAATTCGGCATATTATCTAACAATTTATCCACAATTCAAAAAAATAGGGATAAGTATGTTGCAGTAAATTTTACAGATGACTATTTTGATAGCTATCCTTAAATGGCTGAAGGGATTCCCAGGAAAAAACATTTCCACCAGAGGAATATTTTAAGAGAGAAAACTGTGGGGTACATGTAAAAAAGAAGGGATTCGAATGAATGGCTCTAAAATATTTAGAAAAAAAATATTATTTTTAAAAAAGTGAGTAATGAAAGGTCGAGTATCAATGAAAATGTTGTTATACTGACAGAATAATCTTACAGAAGGGAATGCATTGTAAAACATTTATATTGCTGATGAGGTAGCATTATTTTTTAAATGCAAGGTGGAATAAACGGTAACTTCTGAAGAAGACCCATGCAACAATGGAAAAAACAAGGAATGTCAGACCATGCTGTTGGATCAGAAAAGCTCAACTTTTAGTTACCTTAAAGTCTCATAAACCCGTAAAAGTGCAAAATAAATAATTTTTCTAAAGGTAAGAACAATCTTACACATAGAAATTTTTCGTTTATACAAAAATGAATTGTATATAGATATAAAATAGGTAAGTAAATACATATTTAAATAGGTAATGTATCAGTATGTTTTTTTGTTTAATACTCATTATTTCTAGGCACTGGATGATTACTAGAGTAGGAATGTAAAAAAAATTAAAAAACATTGATGAACTTGGACCTTTATGATTCAACGTTCATTATTTTAGGTCTCGCTACCTATAACACCGATTAGTTGAAAACTAGATAACTCAAATTTATCTATTTACCCTGAGATTCGAGTTATCGGGAGTCAAATGTACATATATGAAGCTACTTTCGGTCATGGACAATTCAAGAATGTACACTGGAACTGGGTTCATACATTAAGTGGATTAGGTTGGACAAATCCTCCATTTTCACAAATATTTTTGGCTATTTGAGACATGTTCTTAAAATTAGCAGCATGATGAGGACTTCTGAGTGCGCCAAGATTATTAGAAACTCTCATGGAACCCTAAAAAATAAATAATCAAGGTAAAAAAGAAATTCATAAATAATAAGTTAAAATCAAAGGAAAAATAATTTTTTGGGACTAAAAGATATATATGGATTAAATTTAAGCTTTAGCCCAGCATTTCATAATCATGGGTTTTGATTCATAAATTTTAATTGTAGTAATCTGTTATCAAAAAAAGACAGCAATAATTCATTTCACATAAGATGTCACTGAGTCATACATGGTGTTATAACTTTTAATGGTGTTTTCACTAATACAAATTATGAAATTAGAAAGTAAGAAAATCTGTTGCCCACATCACACCATAAGCTTCTCTATTTCCTCTGCTTTTAACAGAAATTATTGTTAGACAAAATTAGGGTATGGCAAAAAGTTTTTGATTAGCAATATTAATTTTTACACTGATCCACCTTAAGCCAGTTTTTACATTGCTTTAGTTTTTCAAATAAATCGTACTCGAATCTTTCTTTGATCAATTTTCAGGAAAATAAATCTAATTCAATTTTTTTTTGTTTCTTGATGGACATATGTAAACATATAAAATCTCTTCTGAAATAGGAAGGAAAGTCGTGTGAGTGGACACACCAGATTTTTTTATTTAAAATAGTTAATCATTTCACATTGGAACCTGATCTAAAAAATGGTTAAATATGAAAGAATTTGATAATTATCTAAAGGAGAAGTAATCTAATATAATAATGGAGAACCGACAAAATGCAAACGCGTAGCCAAGCTTGGCCGAAGGTTAGAATGGGCTTCTATACATCATGTGCAGTTTTCATTAATGCGGTTTAATAAAGCATTGATATTATTTAATATTTAATTGTATATAGAGATTACAGCAATATAAAAATTAAAATGTATATAAATTTACTAATGCTTCAACAAATAAAAAGACCTACAATGAAATATATATAAATTTTATTTCATAATCAGTGGCACTCATGTTGGACTAAAAATACTTTGTGACACTTAATTATTTATTATAAATAATTAAAATATACAACCGTTAAGGACAATGACTAACTAAAGAAATATAAGTATGATACGTTAGAAGGCTGTACTATATATGGGGTAATTGGTAAAGGCTGTATATGGTAATTGATTGTTTAAAAAAACATTTTGTACCGTTCGTGATTTTTAGTTTCTCTCCCGTTTTTATGAAAATACTTATTTCTCATGAAAGGAGGGGGTAATTGAAAGTTGTGTGATGCCACCACCGCACTAGATTTTCTTATTTTTTTTTCTTATTTTTTAAAATTTAGATGTATAAATAAATATTTATATTTTGTAATTAGCATTTAGTTAATACTTATATTTAGAAGTAAACTACTATAAAAATGGTATATGCAGAACTTATGTGTTGATACAGATCATATTTATTTTTTAAAACATTATTAATATAATGGAAATGAGTCTTAAAGCTTCTATTTTAACATATTCAAAAGAAAAAGACCAAGCCCATTTTTTTAAAATTAGCATTAAGTTGTTAAGAAATTCAATTTTTCTCTGTTGTTTATTGTGCTTAATATCAAAGGTAAAACTTCTTATTAATAAATAACTTTAACAGTTGTAACAACTGAGAATAAATTAATAATAAGATTATTCAATCATAACATCCATGTTTCACTTTTATTCATCATCAATTAGTTTTAATGTATAATTGATAATGTATTTCCTTTAAATATAAATATCATTTTCTATTGGCGATAATATTTTTTTTTGTTTGATATTACACTGATATTTAATATTATACCTTAGATTAGGGATTTTCGAACTACCCACTAAAGGCCCTTCAATCCATCCCACAAAAGTTCCTTTGATTATATAGTAAAATTTAAAAAAAAAATACAAAATTTTGTAAATTAGTCAAATGGGAGGTTACTACTACACCAGTTATTTCTCTTAAGAAGATTATTTCACAACATAAATGTCATTTATTCATCACAGCCATGACCCACAGAATTTCGTGGAGGTCTCAATGTGGCCCATGGGACTTAGTGGAGGCCTCACTGTGGCTCGTGGGCCAAAAACTTTGGAGATCCTTGACTCAGGTGAATATTGATATCAGTAAGCAATATCGGAACTTGTCCAATATCCCAACAACACTAACTAAAGTGAAATAAACTATGTTTAAAATTGCTCCAGGAACTTTAAACTAAATAATAAAAGAAATTATAAGAAAATTATGTACGCATGTAAATTAAGGGTATAAAACAAAATTATTACCTCAGAGCACCAAACTTTGGTCATGAGGGCTTCATGTTCGGCAGAAGGTAGATTCTTCTGGATAGATCTGGTGGCTCGGGACAGAGCAACAGACATGGTATAAATATCAATCGCAGCATTTGCCACCCGGTTGAGAAGGAATTGTTCTTCAACAATACCTCTACCAAACTTCATCAACAGCGACTCAACTGCAGGTCCAAACTGAGTAATTGATTTGGCAACAAGAGCGGCCGATGGAGACAGGCTAGGGTGAACAAGATGTGAAAGGGATGGAGTACTACCAAGCCCGACTGTCCTCAAACCTCTCTTGGTCACCTCTTCCATTATCAATGAGAGATGAGCTGTTGGCTGTCGGAAAGCCATCTGGAGTTCCTTCAGTTGGGAGCCAGCATATTGGATACCTGCAAAACAAAAATGTTTGATTATTCCTACAATTATTGTATCTTATAGTTATGTATATTAAATTATATTATTCATATAACTGAAAGAATCATGGTAAAAAAATCATAATAATTTTAATATTCATATCAAATAAATACTCCCTGTCAAAAGTATCGCAACACTTTGAAATATTTGAATTTTACAAAAATGTCTGTTTCTTCATAATAAACAAAGTTTCTGAATTCTATAATACATATTTTTGAACTGGACATAAACAAGTTTTATTAAAATAAATAATATTTCTTCCAATAAACAAAAAAGTTAGAAAACTTACTTTTTAAAAGTTTCCTTTTTTACAATTTTGACTTTTTTTAATTTTATTTTTTATTTATTCATGATATTTACAACTGTATTAATAAATAAAATACATTAAGTAAATTTGATAACAGAAAATAATAACATGAAATCACCAGTTGAGAAACTACCCACTGGTAGCAGTCTAAAAAATGGATTCAGGCCTGGTTATTCTACTCAGTCTGCCCTAATCAAAATTTCCCAAGACCTTCACACAGCCATAGATCAGCAGAAACTAACCATCCTTATTCTCCTAGACTTCTCCAAAGCTTTTGATTCAGTAGACCACAACATCCTCCTAACTAAACTTAAAAATATCTCTTTTTCTTCTAGTTCCCTTAATTGGTTCCAATCCTTCCTAACCGGTCGCTCCCAGTACGTTGTAATTCCTAATAACCCACCATCAGAATCTCTACCTCTGACCAGAGGCGTCCCACAAGGCTCTTCCTTATCCCCCACCCTTTTCTCCATCTATATAAATGACCTCCCATCCTCTATCCTGCACTGTCATTACCACCTGTATGCCGACGACATTCAAATTTACCTCTCCTTTAATCCGACAGATATCTCAGATGCCACTCAAAAACTTCAGGAAGATATTGACAGAATAAGTGCTTGGGCAAACCTCAATAGGCTCACTCTGAACGCCGAGAAGACAAAAGCCATCTTGATCGGATCCCCTTCACTCCTCAAATCCTCCCCAGTATCTCCCAATCTCTTCCTGAACAACTCACCTATCTTATTCTACACCACCGTTAAAAACCTAGGTATTACTTTCGATCAATCCCTATCCTGGAAACCTCACATCTCCCAAATTTCCCGTCGCACTATCTCCACCCTAAAACAGTTCAATCGTCTACGATATCTCCTTCCATATAAGTCCCGTCAACTCCTAGTTTCCTCCCTTGTTTTCCCCCACTTCGACTATGGCTGTATGGTGTACGGTGGACTCCCGGGAGATTCCGAGGCCAAACTTAAACGCCTAATGAATTGCGCACTACGATTTGTTTTCGGAATCTCAAGGGATACGCATATTACCCAGTATTACACTGAGTTGAGGTGGCTCTACCCATCCTATCGCCGTCAGTACTTCCTAGCCACCTTTCTGTACCAAATTATTAGAACCCATCGACCCTCCTATATTTTTCACAGCTTACAATTCAAATATTCCATCCAATCCCGTCCCACCAGATCTCGTACTTCCGACCTCTATCCTCCTCCTCACCGAACTGCTGCGTTTGACAAATCCTTTGCAATACAAGCCGCCTCCCTCTGGAATTCCATCCCAGCTGATATTCGACACGCTCAATCAGTTTCCTCGTTTAAACCACTCCTCTTTAAGCACCTACTCCTTTCTCAATCCGAATGATTGTGAAATATATCTTAGAGAAATATCTGAGCACTACCAGAGACTACCTCAATTTATTAAGGTTATTTTAGTTTCTCATACATATGTACAATTTACTTGTTCTTTTTTTCTCTTTTCTGTATTTTTATCGTAAGTCAACTTTCATTGTAAATATACAATTTAATTGTAGCCACACAGACATATAATCTGTATTCATATTTTGTTCTTAAGGGACAACAGTCCCAGAATAATAAAACATTTTTTTCATTTTTCATTTCATTTAAAAACAAAATGTATTTACAATAAGAGATCTCGAGGCCATCTTCTTTTCAGACGCATCGGAGGGATTTTAACTTCTAAATTTTTAGTTTATATTTAATAAGAGCTATTGCTCCCTCTGGCTTGAATGACTGTTTCCACTCATCTTGACATACTTGTAAAAAGATTTTGAAAAAAATATTGGGATATATTGTCCCATTCCTTTAATACAGCTGCCTTTAGCATTTCAAGGGTAGTAGGAGGTGAATCTCGTGACCGAACCTTTCTTATGAGATAATCACAAACGGGCTCGATTGGGTTAAGGTCAGGACTTCTTGCTGGCCAATCAATGGTGTGGATATTTGAGGTGTTCACCTGCTCAGAAACACATCTTGCCTTGTGAGAACGGGCATTATCATGCATGAGTAAAGATTCAGAGCCTATGAACGGCATAAAAGGCACTAAATGATCTTGAAGAATCATTTCTACATACCTCAAAGCATTGAAGGCTCCTCCTTGGATTGGCACTAACTCGGTGCGTGCCTCCCAAGATATGCCGCCCCAGAACACGATAGAACCCTCCCCAATGGCTCAGTTTCTAACGTGCAGCACTGACTATATCATTCTCCAGGCCTTCTCCAAACTCTTTCACGGCCATTAGGTCTGTTAAGGGCCACTCTTGTCTCATGAGTGAATACAACTCTTTTTTCATTCCTCCACAGTCCAAGATTAGTGTTCCCTTGTAAATCTCAATATCTTTATGCGGTGTTCTGTGGTGAGAAGAGGACTTTTCACTGGACTTCTTGAGCTAAGGTTTGACTCTGTCTGTCTTCTAATGATCGTTGACAAGTAGATTTATATCGCTCGAACACCAGCGATCAGGCTTTTAATGGAAGAAACTATAATTACGCTTCCAAAGTGAGTGCATTTTAATGAAGTAGCCATCTATGGGATTAGTAATACTGGGATGCCATGACTTTGGTCGCCTTGAATGACTACCAGTCTTCCTGTATCTTTTTATGGTCCTTGAAACGAAAAAATAGTGAATCCCAAGGCGATTAGCAATGTAATGCAATGATTTGCTTTCTTCAAAGAGAGCAATGATTCTGATCCAAATCATTGTGGCTTAAATGATTCGTTGTGAATAAAATTAATTTTTATAACTAGACTATAGAGAAAAGAGGGAACAGACTTGAGGTAAATGAAAGATAACATGAACCAAAAGGAAATTTGAAATGAATAAACCAAAATTCCACCGTTTGTTGGTAAACATTGATGTGTTTAATCCCTAATATCTCTCATTTAATAAATAATATTAATATAAATATAAACAAAGTATGGATTAAGATCAAAACCAAGAAAATCTCGAGAATTAAGGGTGTTGCAATACTTCTGATGAGGAGCAATTCTATTTTCTTTTGTATTTTAAGGGAAGCAATTCTACATAGACTTGGAGAGGTCCATACAGATTAAGGATGCATTAAATAAAAATTAAACTACAAAAAAAACTTACAAAAATTATGGTTAAAATCCAACTAGACTTATTATACAATATAATATTAACCTGTAAGAGCCACAAACAGCCTCAATATATCATTTGTGCCTTCGAATATTTTGAAAACTCTCAAGTCTCGCATGACTTTTTCCAGACCAGTTCCTTTCATAAAACCCATTCCACCAAGAATTTGAATGGCTTCGTCTGTTACAGTCCAAGCACTGTCAGAAGCAAATACCTATAGAGAAAATAAAGAATTGGTGTTAAAAACATCTAGAGTTTATACACACAGTCCGACAAATGTTAGGTTTTTATCCGACAACACCCTACAGTTTGAGTACTAGAATGTTTACATAGAAATATATATTTATAATACTATATAAATCACGATCTTTAAATCTGGTGTACAAATTTCTTAATTTACTGTTATTTTTAAACAATATGTGTAGGTGTGAAAATTTGGAATCTTTTTTATATATTATATCCCTGATGTAATAATAAAACAACGTTTTCAGCCCTAATGATGACCCATATACTTGGTTTGAAACGTCGGCAACAATAAAAATCTTGACTATTTAACATCTATACACAGGTGTTATGTTTGTGAGCCTAAATTCAAGGCTAATTACATTACCATTTGATAGCTGGATGACATACTGTACCAATTATTCACATGGGCCAACTAGTTCTTAATTATTATTTTAACAACACATTGTTAAAACCTAATAATTTAATTACCTATACAAATAAAACTTTTTGCTTAAATTACTGAAGAAGTAAGAATGCTAAGTTTTTTTAAGGAATGCCAATGGAGATGACAAAACACTAATTCAATGAGATTGAAAGACTAATTCAATGAGATTGAATTTTTAGGTAATTATAAAGAATGATATCTTACTTTTGAAATAGCTGCTTCAAGATGATAATCCGTACTGCCAGAGTCCATGTTACCTGAGATACAATAGGCAAGACTCTCAGTTATGTAATGGAGCATTGCCATTCGGGCTAGTTTTTCCTGAATAGTTCCATAAGAATCTATTCTGCGACCAAACTGGATACGAGTTGTAGCATGTTCGACAGCTTTCTTTGTGACTGCCCTCATTGTACCAGAAAGTGCAGCAGCCATTCCGAAACGTCCATTATTTAATATATTCATGGCCACCTGCAGAAATAAATTAAATAACGAAATTCAGAGAAAAAGAACATTGTACGATGTTGACCAGAAACATTTAATAACAAATCATTAAAAAAAAAAGAAAGATGTTTGAGTAATTAAATTAGTTATTATTTCAGTTTTGCTAATAAAATTATATTAGCCTTCATATTTTATTCAGTAATCAAAATTAAAAAGTACTGCAAATTATTGCACCATGGTTTATTATTTCTAAATACATAGTGATACACGTCTCACAACATTCTTTACCACTTCTCCAAATAGTTACCTCCTTAAGATTTTTTAATTTTTTGTAAAAAAAATGTTAAAAATCCAATTATTCTTTAAAAAACTATCTTGTCTGGTTCCATAGAAAAAAACTTTTTACTTACATAATAAAATAAACTGATATTACATTAGAACACATAAAAAAAGTTAAAACCACATATCTCTGCACCAAGTAGTTTGATTTTAATGATTCTCTCTTTTTATTTTTAAAGTTGCTTCATTATCTTTCAAAAAATCATACACATAATCCACAAAAAAGGATATTCTTTTTGAGGAATTCACAAATAACATTTTTTCCAGCTCCTTTTCATGGAAGTATGACCTATATACATAAACTTATAGGGCTTTTAGGAAAAGACTTAGGGGAAGTTTAATTAAAATTGTTACAGCTGTTTCAGCCAGTTAGTAGTTACTAATTGTTACAGTCTATAGTTACATTTATGTGGACTAGCACCAGAAACTGCCCTATACTATACATAAAAATGTGACCAATTTGCGTTACTTTGATACAGGCTTCTGGGCTCGGACAGAATTGTTGAATGGAAACCTTCTTCCTTCAAATGGTCATCTCTTTTAAACTTATATTTATTTTTTATTTTATTTTTATTTTTTCAACATGTTTGTATCTTTTGTAGCCCTGAAGACGACCTGCAAAGTGGGTCGAAACGTCGGCAAAAATTAAATTAAAAATAATTTATATATTTTAATTTTTTTATTTATTTGACCGCACCCTCGACTAACTCCTTCTCATATTATATTAACGGTCAACCATCTCTACATCACTCTTTTAAACTTCATTAGAAGGCTGAAAAGGTTTGCGACAGAGATTGAGGTAATGTAGATCATCATTGGTATGACTTTCAGAGGGTTTGGCAAAAAGAACCAAAAGGTCCATTTGCTCAATGTGTCACTTTATCTTTACCAGTAAAGTAATAAGTGAGATCTACCAAGGATAAGGTGACTAGATTTTAACATTGATAAAAAGGAACATTATTGGGGGGGGAGGGGTGTTAAAAAAAATAAAATAAAATATATAATTGAATTTAAAAACCTCGATTCACTGTCAAGTTATCTTCTTCAAAATCAATGTTTTTATATTTAGTTTTCATTGAATTTTCTATTTAAATGAAGAATTCCTAGTAATATAAGAACATTATTGAATTATCCTATATTCAACTTATTCTATTTAGCCATCCTGGCTAATATTTTATTTACCATATTTATATATTTTATTTTATAATATTTTATTTTAAATACCATTTCCCTTTACCTCTGTTCGCATAAAAGGGTTCGCAGGAAAGTTCTTGATTCAAAAAGTTGGTTCATTAAGTCCAAAGAACAGTTAAATTTGTTGTTACAATAATTGATTTTACATACCGATGAAGTACGGTGTGGTGGCCGAGCGGACTAATGTGTGTGCCAAACACACTTTGTCCAGCAACCAGATGATTGATAAACCGAACTTATAGGTTATAAAATAATTAAGAGTTTTTGTCCCGGTTCCGTGGAGCTTTTAACTCTGGGGTATTAATCCCACCCTCTCTCCTGGCCCGGGAGTCCATTAATCCACATACAGCCTTGAACAAGAGGAAGGGGTAAAAAAAAATAATAATCAGATGCAAATGATAATCAGGTGATATAGTATTCAACTGAAATAAGTCTGAGAATTTAGTTCTAAAGGCGTATTTTTTAGAGCGATTAATTTTATGATGTATTTGACATCTAATTTATGACAGCAGCTTGTACAATCAAGCAACTCTTTTACAAAATGCTAAAAACTAATTGAAGGTTGAACGTTTAGGTGATCGAAGTAGTAAATGAAGTTAATATGCCCGAAAACCGCATAATCTCTTCCTGTTTCCTAGCTTGTCATATATTCTTTCCCAAAATCGGGACTTCCTGAAAATGAGGTGGAATAAATTGATAAAAATTGGAACAGTCCCGCCAATCGTATAACATCTGGTCACCTGGTCATTAACCAAGGATCATGCTCTTCTGGACCAACCCAATGGGTTAACCAATTCAATGGGTGCATTACTGAGACAGTATAGCCTACATAGTAGACAGTATATGCATTACAGATAGCCGAATCTTATTGCTTAATTGAAGAGATATTTTCCAGTAGGGCAAGTTTATATATTTATATTTCCCAGTTTATTTATAAGTAAACTGTTACTTTGATATAGTCATTATAAAGTATGTAGCTTCATAAATTGTATTTGTTTAATAAACGTTTTTTAAAGTAGTATAACTGTGTGAGAACTCTTATCAGTTGTTTGTAGTTCTATCACTTATTAAGAATGGAGTATAGAGGCTAGACCTCGATAAGGACTTCATAAACGTTATGGTGATGTAAACAATCATAAAAATTAAAATAAATCCACATAATTTGTTTATTTTTATTAAAAACTAACAAAAAGTTTCTTGATCTCAGAACTATTCTCCTTCATTTACCTTTTTATCTGTTTTTTCTCCTCGCTTAAAAATTAGGCACGTCCAAATTACAGGATAGTTTACTTGGAAAATAATATTAAATATAAATTGCATAAGAATAAACAATTACCTTAAAGCCTTCTCCAACACCTCCTAATACATTTTCGACTGGTATTGGGACATTATCATAAAAAATGTCAGTAGTATTTGAACATTTGATCCCCATTTTTGGTTCTGGAGGACCACTAGTAACACCACCGAAAGACCTCTCGACGATAAAAGCTGTGACCTTATCAATTTCTTTTCCTACAATAAAATAACCTCATGATTATAATATATTTATGTAATTGTTCAGGGGATCAATCCCTGAATAGAAAAAATATATATATTTTCTACCAGGCTTCACCACCATTTTATTGGTTTCTGTTTTATCTTAACCAGTTTCTACACAGTTGAGCATGTTGATGACAATGGGGCATCGGTCACGCATGACAGCTCAATATTTTTGAAGGTCACGTTTTTGCTCGATTTTGTGATCAAATTATCTTAGGATTCAAGTGGAAATCAAATGGGTATTTATGAGTCTTTGGTACCAAGTTAAATAGTCAAAGTTTACTGATCTCCAGATTGAAAATGCCCCAATTCCAAAAATTTATAAATAAAATAGTTGTAGGGTACAATGAGAAAAAAATACAAAGTTTCAGGTGGATGTTAATAATCTGATAAAAAGGTGTCTGTACCACAGACTATAATAATTGAGATAATTTTTCTTCAGAAAGTTGGTATTTTTTTTAACCTGAATTGCTAGATTGAGAAATGCTAAATGGTCAAATAAAATAAGAATGACCCAATAATCAATAATCAATCAAATAACCTAAAACCTCGTTAATTGTAAACATCAGAGTTTACACGCAAGTGGGGATAGAAGGTTTGATAATACAATCACCGTTTCTTGTTATATGTGATAAATAAGATGATGTCATACGTTAACACCTTGTTAACTAACTCTGTTTAAAAATTATTTGGAGCAACTGGACCCAAATCTTAACATTGGTTAAGTTTTAAGATGATTTAGTTAACAGATAACGTTAACTTTAATCACGACTTTTGGTCCAACCGGGACTAAGGATCTCCAAACTATGCCCTGCACCTTCAATCCAATTGATTAAGCCAAATTGGCTTGCACTAGTTTCTTTAATTACATAGTAAAATTTTTAAAAATATGAAATATAGTAAATCACTCAAAGACGAGGTTACCACATGTATTGCACGAGTCGATTCTCTTAGAAACCTAATTTCACAACTAAGTGTCATTTATAGAAAGAATTTCAAGATCAATATAAATTAACCAGGTGATTCAGTGCATTGGGAAATAAAAATATTGCAAAATAAAATAAAAATATTTTGTGAAAAAAAAAGGGGATTGAGCAAGTATTAAAAAAATTATCACACCATCTTTAAATTTTTTTTTTCTTACTCTCTCTCCAAGCATTTTATTATTGTAATTTGTATAATAAAAACGTTGGAAGATGAGAAACAAATTTAAAAAGTTATAATAAGACTCACACAATGAAAAGAGTAAAACTAGTGCTTTTAAAATAATATAAAAAAAGAAGAAATAAAAAAAAAATTATATATTCCACCTGAATGCCAACATAATCAAAATTTCCAGTTTAAGATAAAAAAATTAACCAATAAACAGTGTTTTATTTATCTAAATGAATATCCATAAAACTTTCTATAAACACTACACTAAAATTTATTTTTGTCTAAATAAATAATTAATTATTTTTCTTTATAGATCTACTAAAAACCACGAAGGCTATTTAATACCTGTTTTGGGGTCTTTTACTGGAGTTTGTGCAAAGACAGTCATAATATCAGCAATTCCTCCATTACTGATCCAAATTTTACTACCATTCAGGATGTAATGTTTACCATCTGGTGATAAGGTTGCTCTGGATCTATTAAAATTAAGTTATTAATAATTAAAAAACATCAAGTACACATGAATATATAAAAATTAAATGTTGGCAATTTTACTTTAACTTAAGATTTTTCATTTAAAATGGTTTTTATTAAAAATAAATTACACATAAAACAAATAAATGTTGCCTTAGTATATATAATCTAATTTAAGATTAATTTTAATGTATTATTAAATAATTTTATCTTGAATTTATTCTATTACATATTTATTTAAACATGATTTTTTTTTTAAATTAAAATATTTTTGCAGCATCAATTTCCCTATCAATCAGCTTTTTCTTATACTTGATATTAGCTTGATTTTTGCAAACGATAGTGACAGTATTAATTACCTTCAGTCTTAGTTCATTCTGTCTTAAATTTTCTTTTTCTACTGCCTGTATCATATATTCGACATCAGACAGCAGGATGTGATATTCTACTCAAGATATTTTTATTGTTTACTTCATAATTAAATTTAGGTCCTAAGGCTAAAATATTATGTAAGGTTTAGGAACGTAGTGATTGGTACTTCTGGCAGTGGATCAGCTACTGTTCTTTTATTTATTTTTGCAAACTTTTTTTATTAATTTGAACTTCTTTTCACTGCGTTGTCTTTTGTAGAGCTTCTCTTGGTCATAAGTCAATTTATAATACATTTCTCGATCCATTGTGTCAGAAAGTTCTACCAGAATGTTATCTATTTTGTATCCAATACATGCAATGGTTGAACAAATTTCTTTTATTTCCAAATTCAAAATTGAGCTCTGTGTTCTGAATATGATATCCTCTATTCTCTAATGGTTTTATGAACTCCGAACTTTTAGGAATAAGGTGATATATATATATATATATATATATATATGGGGGCTGGGGTAGCCGTGTGGGCTAAGGCGCTTGCAATAGATAACCAAGTTAAGCAACGCCGAGCGTGGTTAGCACTTGATTGGGTGACCGTCCACCATTTGGGGGACCATCGCTACACAGGGAAAGCCATACGCTATATCACAGACTCCCCCCTGGTTTGTCAGGTACATCAGCCTATTGGAGGCAACTCACACTGACCGGGCTTAAGATTGATGACCGTACCCCTGTGTACTTAAATCAGGAATCAGGATGTGGTCAAGAAGACCATATCTCATAGTCAAAGATCTACAAGGTCTGTAGCACCAACCAAAAAAAAAAAAAAATATATATATATATATATGTATATATATATTTTAATAAAGATACTAACATTACTGGCTAATTTATCAAATAGAAGCTGATAAAAACAATTTTTTTATTTTATTTTAAATCTAACTGATACTTTCAGTATAGAAATATAAAAATTTACTATGGATAACTTTAATTTGTTTGGTAATGTCCGAACTGGAAAGACTATAAGTATGAATTTAAAATGTTATTTAATAAAAAATTATATTGTTTTTTGAGGATAAACAGAGATCTGATATTTAATTTATGATTGACTAATTATTTAAATTTTATCTAAAGTTAAAGTAACAAAACTAAATTAGAAACAACAAAGTTTAACAATTTCACACTATTTAAAATATCTCCAAAAAAATGGTTTCAATATGTTTCTTCTTGAAACAAAAACAACTGTATAAACCATTAAAATTTGTGAACTTGAAAATGAACCTGATTGATCCAGCATCACTTCCAGATGATGGTTCCGTGAGACAGAATGCTGCGAATTCTTTTCCAGTTGCAACCCTAGGTAAGTACTTAGCCTTCTGTTCTGGATTTCCAAACAGCAAGATACCCTGGGAATCCAAAAATGTATAGAAATTATAAAAAATATAATGGCCGAGAGAAATCAGAATATACAACTGGCAAATTGGAATGTATAGGACAAAGGGAGAAGAGGTAGAAAAAGGTGTGCATAAAGGAGTCTTGACTGAAACAAAAAAGAAAGGACAAGAAGAAGAAACCTTTGAGAAATACATTATGTACCACAGTGGAGTGGAGAAAAGTGAACGAGCCCAGTCTGGTGTCGCTATTGATGCACAAAAGAAATACCCCATCTTTGTCAAAGACTATGATTGTATTAAATTAGAGATTAAATTATTAGAAATTGATGCATTAATTATAGAAATTTAAGCCCCATAGATTGTACAAGCCTAGATGAATATAATAACTTTTTGAAAAACTGCATACAATGAAGAGATTCCTTCAAGGAAAATAGTTTTATTATTATATATATATTAATTACTATTATACATATTATTATATTATATGTTTTACATAAATAACAACATCCCTATCCATTTTTGAACAGAATATTATAGAAATAAAACAGAACAATAATCATTTTAGAATTACAAAATATGATTAGGTTATACAGATCCCAGTAAAATAAAAAATGGCAAACTTTCAAAATTCTGAACTAAAGTAGTTAGTTAAAAAAATAATAAACTCTTATAAAACAATTGTGAACGGGATAAATAATAAGGCAATAAGAAGAGTAAAGAATAAGTATTCTTAAAATAATAAGAATGAGCACTCATTACAAAAAATAAGACATTACTACACCTTAAAGCCAATGGACTGATGAGCACCAAGAGTGACTGCAACACCCAGATCATGACCACCAACGATTTCTGTGATCCTTGCATATTGTGAATTAGTAATACCCATACCTCCGTATTCCTGGGGTACTTGGAGTGCAAAAGCACCAAAATCACGTAAACCTTGAAGAGTATGAGGCTCAATAGCAGAAGCATCATCATTTTTTTCTGCATTGTTTACTTCCTAAAACAAAATTCCTTATAGTATCCAATAGAATAAACTATAATATAGTTTTTAATTTTAATTTGCTTTATCTTCATAATATTTAAATAAAGAATATTTATAATTAGGTAAAAAAATGTATCTAAATTAAGTAATAAGCATATAAAAAAGTTTTCAAGGAGAAAGCTTATCTGTTTTTCATAATTTAGTTTAATCTTTTATCTTTTGAGTAACTCACGAAATTTAACTTACAAGTTAAAATTGGAAAATATAAGTATTCCAGCTCTTAGTATAATGGATACTTTACTTAGAAGATTCAAATATAACAAATTTCCATCTTATCTTATGACACAGAATTAAACAAAAGCAGGATTAATTTTATACATATCTTCTTAAGGCAAATAAGTCACTAATGTAACAATATAAAAAAATCATTTTTGCTTTTTAATCATAACTGGATAAAATAATAATTATACACAATAATCAATCAAACTAGTAAATTAAAAAAAATAAGATTTTTTAAAAATATATTAATATTAATATTTAGAAAATAACTAACTTCAAAGAATTTTTGGGTAGGATCAATAAGCATTTTAAGGTGTTCTGTCATCTCTTCAGTCAGTGCATCGGGATAGGGGAAGACTTGTGCAGGTTGAACAACACCTCGAAATAGATTCATCATAAAAGACATATTTTCCTTGGTACCACCTTTAGGATCTTCCTTAGCTTGGGTGGCTGCAGTTGCAAGCTGCCTAAAAATTGAAAAACATAAGTTAAAAAATTCAATTTCAATGTAGTTGATAGATTTACTTTAAATTACAAATCCATCAAGAATAGTTTTAAAAAATATGGGAAGCGTCTTTGAAACACAAATTACTTCACACTAGTTAAATGTTAAATTTTAAAATTACTCATAAACAAATTAACCAATTTGTTTACCGATTAACCAATTTTGTCATCTATTTATAGTTTCACCTAATATCAAAAATAATTTAGTTATTGTAATTTTTACTTAAAGTATATCAATTTTATACAGTGAAGTTATTATTACATGGACCCCAACAATAATATAAACAGAACTAATTCATATATTTTACTAATCAACTTCTTATAATACTATGTTTATATCTAACTATATTTTGAGGAACAAGATAGCTGCTACAGAATTTTAATTTAATAATGTTGAAATAACAACTTTAGGCTACAGAAAAATATACCAAACCATGAAGTGATGCTTTCACTAAGGACTAAAACTAGGATTATTGCCAAGAGGAGTTAGCTTAATTTGTCTTCAATAAAAGTGAGCTTTTTAGACAATATAAGTTGAAAACAAATATCATCATCAGATAATATTAAGCGATATCATTGACTGAATTGAGGTCTAAACAACCAAAATATAGCAAGAAATATTTTTTTAGGCAAAAAAAACCCTGAAATTTGCTCTCTTCCCTAGTACAGGTCCTGTTTTTACTACAATTTTAACAAGAACATTACAAGGCATGTTTTTAGTATCAGTGTTTATTAGTATCAAACATAACACTTAAAAATAAGACAGTACATTTAAAACGATATTAATTAATTTTATAAATTATTAAAACGATAATCATGAAAATGAAAATTATTACAACGATAATTAATTAAATTCAGTAAAAAAATGTAGGCCTCATACCATTACTATAATTTGTGTTAATTATTAAAAGAGTAGGGATACAGTATAGATGAACATTTTAAAAATTATATGTTTTGACATCAGGTTTTTCAAAAAACAAAAAAAATAAGTACATATCTTATTAAGTCAAAAACTGTTTTCAAAAGCACTAGAGATCAGAAAATGGGAGACTTTGGGTGATCTAAAAATATGTAAAGTATACAGTAAATTTACAATATAAACTTGTGATGATGTGTGTCTTTAAACCTACCCAAGAATAAACAACACCATTAAATCTGAAATACATGTATGATGTTCTATCAAAATAATATACATACCTTTCACTAAACTTTTGTAGAAATTTAAGCATGTTTGCTTCATTTTTCAGAAGTGAAACTTTGTTAAAACTGAACTTCAACATTTTTATTAGTTAAAATATTATTATAAATTTGGTATACACGAAACAAAATTAGTTAAATAAAACAAAAGTGTGAATTTTGAAAAGTGAAGACAGGAGGTAAAGAAAAGGCTAGGAAACTTCCAGAAGAAACGAAAACCAAGAGAACCGTCCTTGGATGATAACAGACTGAACCATGTGTCCAATGTCATGTACTATTATCAGGTCACATGACAACTTCTTTAATGTTATCTACGGTTAGAGTCCTTCCAATTAGGTGTGACTTTGTACTTTTTGAGATTTTTAAAAAATACATAACAATGATTTGATAAATTTATTTCTTATTTATTTCTTTAGCTTACATTTAATATATGATACAAATCGAAAGGAAAAAGTTGCTTTCCTTATTTTCATTTTCAATGATGAGCCGAAAAATGAAAAAAAAAAAAATTACTTTCATCCCTTAGAAAATGAGGTTTTCGGTTCGATATACTTTCTGTCCATTGGTTATAATTTTTAATTTTGGGTACCTAATGGCGTAGCCAGATAGGTAAAATATTTTAAGGGGGGGGGCAGTTCATCTAAAAGGCCCCTTACAAGGTCAATATTATTTAAGCAATATAACGAACGTTAAAAGAGCCTCTCACATGTGTTATATTTATCAATATTATGTCAGTTGCTATATTACTTTCGCTAACTTCTTACTTTCTTTGTTTTATTTTTTGTCTGCATAGTTCTTTTTTTTTTCTAGACATTAGAATATTTCTTGTTTCCATTTGATTATATTCTTATTTCATTCTTCAGACGTCACATAAAGGAGCGACTGAAAGTTATAAAAAACTATTTGACGCACGCTTTGAAATCGTCGATGGCGTCGTCAATCTCTGAACTGGGCGAAACGATGCCAATCTCAGGGCTGAGTTTAGGATCTTTACCTTTATTTCTGATATACATAATTGTTGTAGTTGATAATACCTATCAGTATAATGTTGCAAAAGAAATAAATGTTTACATGAAAGACATATTTAATTTACGAATAAATTACAACTAAATGAAAAACTAAATGTGACAAATGCAATGGGCATCAGGCCAAAGACTAACTTCGAAATAGATGTAGGGATTTTTTTTTCAGGTACATATATTTCTTCGGTTTGTTACAAAAAGTCACCTAATTCTTAATTAAACTTTTATTTAAATAAAATTCCAACAGCGGTAATAACCCTGTTTATCTTAAGTGACGGAATATACTCAGGTACATACATTTGTACTTGTCGAAATTATATGTGATCGAGATAGATGTAGAAGGTATTCATCCCACTACTACTCCAAAAAGTCACTAAGTGGATTTTTGTTGTAGGTTAACTTTCAAATATGTTTTTGTGAATTTCTACCTTACAAAAATACATTAAGTGGAAAATTTTCCGTTTTTAATTATTCGAGTTTATGAAATGGCACTTAATGAATTTTTGCAATAAACAGTATGTATATACATATTGTTATTTTATTTATATATGTTAAGGTCCGGCGTGTGACGGATAAGACTGTAATAAAAAAACTCGACAGTTTGTTAAATATAAAATTATTTGAAAATTAATCTGTTTCAAATTACTTATTTCTTTTTTCTATTTCAAGTTATTTCTTTCTTTTTAATGAACTCAATTTAAAAAAAAAACAGGAAAACCATAGAGTTGTCATAGATTACAGGAAACTAAACGAAAACACTCTAGATGAAAAATACTTGATTCCCAGATTCGAGGACATCGTGGATAGACTGGGCAACTTCTTTATTTAGTATGTTGGACCTGAAAGCAGGTTATCATCAGGTCAAAATGATGAGCCAGTGTTAGCATTTCCAGATTTATCGAAGAAATTTACCATTACAACAGACGCAAGTGAGTATGCGTTTGGGGCGGTATTATCACAGGAAGGGGACAAAGGAAAAAGAGCAATTGCTACCGCCAACAGGCGCCTCGCGGATACCGAAGCGAGATACAGCGTTTTTTCGTGTGGGCCATTAATCATTTCAGGCCGTACGTGTTTGACAGAAAATTTAGGGTCTAGACGGATCATAGACCCCTGCAATCGGTGTGGAAGCTAAAGGAATCTTCCGCGAGGGTAACGAGATGGAAAGAGTTTCTGAGCATACAATTTGGAAATTGTATACAAACCAGTGAAAGAAAATATTGTGGCTGACTGGTTGTCCCGGGCGATAATGGGAAATGCGATAGAAGAAGACGAGAGAGTAAAACCATCTGGGGATGTCAGGCAGTTCTTGCGAGAATGGACCCCTGAAGGAAAAAAAGAACGGGGTATGCAAGAAGGCGACGAGGGGACCCAGAAAGAGGAAAGTCCTGTGGACATAAGATCCTTAGAAATAGAAGAGTTAGTAGAAATTATTAATGAAAAGTGGCATCAAATTATATTGAAGACCAGGACTACGGGGATGACAAAGATTGAGTACGATGGATATGGAAATTGCAAGATCACTACAGTCTGGTCGCAACCAAGAATTAGAGACAACTTAATTTGTCACGCACTCAAGGATGTGTCAAAACCAGGTACAACCCTCACATCACATATACGTAGGGAATACGACGGTCGGGGATAAGATTAAACGGTTATGGCAATCCAAAAAGATAGGTACGGACAGAAAACTTGTTCGATGCACACTGAATGTTGAAACACCGAAGGATGAAGAAACCCAGCACAAGGTGACAATCGCATATCACCATGGTAAGATAAGACGAATCACCGAGGAATACAAGATACATTGCAGGCACTAAAACGGAATTATTTTTGATGGGAGAAGAAGCAAACTATCAAAGGAGTCATTGGGGCCAATGAAATATGCTTAATCACCAAATATGATGGGTAACCACCCATAGCAATATAGGAAGAGACGCCATACTCACCATTAACGAATCTAAAAATAGATACTTTCACATGGAGGGGATATAAATGGGTGACGCTGATGGATCTCTTTGGTAAGGCAGCAATGGCATACCTGATCCAGGAGCTGTCATCAGAAGCAGTCTTGAGGACCCTAAGAACATGGTTCCAGTTTTGTGGCGTACCTGACCGGGGCAAGGACTTTAACAATGCGCATAGATAGATCACTATGCGAGCAGAAGCGAAGACCTCGGATATCACATCGTATATCAACACCCCAGGCATAGAATGACTGCACAGCACCCAAAGTGACCATCTTGAAAATATCACGCAGAAAAAGGGTTAGAGCCGGGTGTGGCTAAGTCGATGGCTATCACGGCATATAATCATTCAATTCATACAGCAACACGTTTTTCGCCATATGAGATTCTCTTTGGGTTGCGGGAACGCCACAGGGATAGCACGAGTACGACAGTGGACGAGGAATTGTCGAAACGTGTCATTAACATAGAATAGCGTTGGTGAAACGATGGGAGAAAGTCTGGAGTAAAATTGAGAACGAACAAAATAGGAGGGTAACAATTAATCTATTTCAAGTTATTTTTTTATTTTATCATATATAGTTATATATATATATATATATATATATTTTTTTTTTTTTTTTTTTTTTTTTTTTCCTTACGTGGTAACCCCACACAAGGATCGTTTATTTGATTTTCCTTCATGCTCCATGCCTTAAAGACATACTACATGAATTACATTTGTTTACAATTGTTTTTGTTTCTAGTTTCACATGATTTACATTTTTAGTTCAAATTTATATACATTAACAAAAAAAAACACAAAGAATAAACACACAAAAATTAAATCGGAAAATTAAATATTAAACACACAAAGTCAATCTAACAAAGCCAAAAAGAAATCACCCACGCTGCCCATCCCTGGTTAGTAAGTCGAAGTCGATCGATCTAATAAATCTAAGAAAGTCTGTCTTGAATTCAGTAAATAACTTTTGTTCCGTCTCAGGCCAATTTCCTCTTTTGATAATTATACTTTTTATTAACTCAAATCGCTGTCTGTCAAATCGTTTACATTCATATATTATATGTTTAAAATTTTGAACCTGTCCGTCTTCATCACATAAGTCTGTTTGTATAATGTTGAATCTTTTAAGATATTGTTTTGTATTCCCATGTTCCGTAAGTACTTGCGTAAGTTTGTAGTCATTACTGTGAATGTGTCTGTAATTGTGAATTGAAATGTGTGGTATAAATCTGTGTAAGCTTGGTGACTTAGCTGAGGTCACCCATATGTGATCCCATCTTTTGATGAAATCCAACTTTAAATTCATATTAATATACGATAAAGGAGCTTGATGATACGATGGCGGCAAATCGCTTTTAGCTGCTTCTTTTGCAAGGCAATCGGCTCGTTCATTGCCCTCAATCCCACAATGTGCTTTTACCCATTTTAGAGTCACTACTTTCCCTACAGTTCTCATCATTAACAATTTGTTTCTAATTTGGTCAGTCAAGTAATCATGAATGTCCCAATTATTAACAGAGTCTAGCAGAACTTTGTTGTCTGTATTTATAGTAACGTGAGTATTCGTTTGTAGAGGGTATTCATATATGTATTCAGTAACCTTTAAAACAGCGAATTTTTCTGCCTGATTATTTGAACAATATGATTCTAATTTATATTGATGTTCTATATTCCTACCATCTTGAGCTCTGAACAACCATGCACATCCAACATTCTCGCCGTCCTTACTACCATCAGTGAAAACATCAGTATTTTCAGAAGTAATTCCCGGTCCAGTCCATAAACTTGTTGCAGGGTGTAACCAAGATTTACAGTCAGTGATTCTTTCTATTTTGTCTAGGGTCAGGTTTTTGTATCCTCTCTTTCCTTTTCTAATGTTATATAAGGTCGTTCGTTCTTCAATCTTCATTTGGATTGGCAACAGCCCTGCCAATAATATTGTGGCCTCGAATGATAGTGTACGATAGCCCTTACATATCTTAATCGCAATTAACCTCTGAAGCCTTTCCAACTTCACCAAATTTTTCTTACGTTCAACGGCCGGATGCCAGACATGCACAGCGTAGAGCATCTTAGGAAGTACAGCAGCTTCATAAATTTCCTTTAACACTTTCGATCTGAGTCCCCATGTCGCTCTTGCAGCCACTGATAGTCCATTTATAATCCTTAAAGTGTTGTCATATAGATTATCTATATGTCTGTTCCAATTCAGTTTTCTGTCAAAGAGAAGCCCCAAATATGATAATGTATCACATTGCGTTATTCTTACTGTATTGAGTCGAATATCCAATTCTGGTACAATTCTCTTTTTTGTGAAGATTATATATTTTGTCTTGTCTAGATTAAATTTAAGTTTGTTGCGTCTAGTCCATCGTCTCAGCCTTGATAATG